TTAAGTTGGTTTAAGGATAGTGTTAAGACTTTATTAGCAAAGAAATAAAAAATTTCTTGTAAACATCTTTTTTGTGTATGGGCAGAGGATTAGCAGAAAGAGTTTTCTAGGACAATATGCTATGCTACAATAAACAAAATTTCAACAAATGCAATATCATATAAACATGTATATATGTATTTCCTTAAGAAAAACAAAATTAAAAAGATGTATTGTATTTATATAAACAATGTTTACAGATATCTATGTATTTACAGTAAACAGATCAACAACATCCTATATTTTTACATGTTTATAATAAGTTGATTAATAATAATAAAAATATTATTATAACAAATACAGTATATGAAATATAATCTAATTTTATAATACAATAACTTTAAGGTTTTTCTATACTACTAAACTAGTAACAAGGAATAAACAAATCTATACTATATATTAAAAATAACAAAATACAAGTTAAATCTATTAATCTGTAATATATAATAAACAAAACAATATCAATGATATGTTAATGCTTTACTATCTATCTGACATATAAAGAAATACTACAGAGTTGTCTTGTGATGAGAAAGCTAACTTTTCATTCTCTTCTCTATAATATGGACTCTAATAGTATTCTTTTTCTGTTTTTCTGATTAATTTTGTCTATCTTAGTTTGATCTTGAATTTTAAGTAATATAAAGTTTCTCGTAAGCTAATTGATCCAATAGAATTATGCCAGTAAAAGAATATAAACAAACTTCTATTGGTCATTTCATATATCTGAATATATTTCCTCAGTTCTATAAGAATCTGGGATTTATTATAAGTTGTATATCTATAATACATGTGAATATAGGATATGTTATCAATATATCTTTGGATATAAGAAAGAGTCTATTTAACCATGATAAAGGTTACAAGAGCTTGATTAACTTTTTAAAAATTAGAGTCACCTATTCCTGATTATATGTCAGATAGTTCCTTATTTCTACTGCTTAGAAAAATTCAATCAGAAAAAGTAAAAAAAATAATCAAAAACACTTAATAATAAAGCTAGTGTATATAGTAAATCAGAAAGTTTTTATCTTATCTTTAAAAAATTTGAAGCTGGAAGACTGAAAGGTTAATATTGTTATATTAATCAAAACTAGAGTCTAAAAATATTAACAGTGATGTGCAAGCTGATCAGATAATTTGAGAGATTCTTATTGATTACTAACATTAACAGTTACCAGCAGGTTATGTCAATTATGAGGCTAGGTGCAATCTTTTTATAAGGAATTAAATATGAAATATGTTGTATAGATAGGTAAGTATACTCATATTTAGATAAGAATAGGTTTAATTAACAATATACTGGAAGACTTTCAAGTTATTCATGTAGATATTAATATATTATCTGGACTTTCCTGATTATTTTCTTTTCACAAGTCATAAAACTATAAAATTTTTCTTCTTTTTTCTTCTTATCTTTATAAAAATTCAGTAAAAACTCCTTTAGATCACTATTAAGAGAAAATCCAGAAAATAAGATGTTCATATATCAAGAAACACAATGGTTACCTTTTAGTATAAGACCATTTCTTTCAATTTTTATTTTTCTTTTATTTTTCTTTTCAATAATACTAGCATGCTCAAAGAAATGTTGATTTCTTTTTGTTAAGCAATAAGCATTAATGTAGCTTTAACTTATTATACTCTTTATTATTACTCCGAATATACATCCATATATCTGTACTTAGCAATATATAAATATAAATTTGGAATTTAATAAAGTTAAACATGAGTCTAATTAAAAAAAAAAAATTTTTTTTTATAAATATAATCTTAATTTAAAAAAATTCATATATAAGTTTATCAATTTTTTTACTTTATTGCTGAAGAATAATGGCTGAACTTTTAATGAATAATTAATGAACTTTTAATAAATAATTTATTAATAGTTGCTGAATTTTTAATGAATAGTTAACAAATTTTTAATGAATAGTTTTAATAAATAGTTGACAAATTTTTAATAAATAGTTGACAAATTTTTAATAAATTATTAACAAATTAATGTTGAATTTTTATTGAATTGCTAATAAATAATTTTGTAACAAACTTTTAATAAATTTTTACTAAATAATTAATAAATTATTTGATGAATTGTTGATGAATTTTTTGATGAATTTTTAATATACTGATTTTTGTAATATTTGTAGCTAAATTATATAGTTGCCAATTTATTTATGTCATTTTTTTACCAAATTGTTTATTTTTTGTTGGATATTATACAAGAAGCAGTATGCCAAATAATTTTTTTTCAACTAGTGTTTTTGAAATAAAAATAGTGGTTCAAATTATTTAAACTATATAGATATATATTTTAATTTATAAAAAAATAATCATGAATAGTATAAAAAAATATTCCATTAATAATATTCATTATAAATATTTAAAAAAAGTGTTTAAAAAAAAGATATTAAAAAATAATTTAAAATTTGATAAAAAAAAAAAGGTTAAAAAAAAAAATAAATTTAATTGAATATTTGTTTTTATTTGAATTCAAAAAAAATCAATTATTTAAAAACTGATCAATTTGATACAATTTAGTTCTACTTAAAATCTGATCAGATCTGATCCATTATTATCATTAATTGTGGATATTTATTTAATTCTTAATAAAGATACTGTATATTATAAATAACATGATTGTGAATTAAAAAAAAAATAATTAATTAATAAAAAGTAAAAATTATAGTTTTTTTATATTATAAAGAATTTAACTTTTGAAAATATTTTGACTTAAAAAAATTAATGAAATAACTTTGATCTTTATATGAATTTCCATTTTTATTAAATTTTTACTATTTGAATCAATATAATAAATGTAAATTAAAAAAAACCCGGATTATCAGTTTTTATTATTGATACTCTACCCTTACAGTTTAATTATCGTACAAATAAATAATTAAATTCTAGCTTGAATGACATTAATTATGACTTTTGCCTTAATAGTATACCAGTAAGCATACATAATTGATTAAATGGTGTGCAATGTAAAACAGAGTCGCATTCCAAATTGATTTAATGTAATAAAGACAATCTCGTTTCTCATTAGACTAATACAGTTTCCGAAAATCATGTCATCAAACCAATCCTCATATCTATCTAACAAACCTATAAAATCCAAAATACCGACATTGTCTGTAAAAATCCAATGGCTAAAAAAGATTAATTATAGTGTTACCATAATCTTTAATTCTTACCTTTACTTATAAGCTGCATATGTGACAAGGTTTTCCGACTCATTGTTTATAATTTCCGAGATGACCAAACTTCGAAAGTGTTTTTACTCAATTTCATCAATCATCTTTAACATTTTTTGTGTAGCATCGGAACTAATGTGATACGATGAAGGAGAACTTTCGTTATTCAAATTTGACTGCTCGGGATTTTTTTCTTTATTAATGTCCTGTATTGATATTAAAATATTAGAAAACAACATTTTCAAACTAACTTTCAAACCAAATAGGTTACGTGCCAAATCCATAACAGAATCATCCGAATGCCTCCACGCGTTTTTTACATTTTGCAACATTTGCCTTAACTCGGAACAACGCCTAAATCCTCAAACAAAAAAAAATATATATATATGAGAAATCAAATGAATTCGATATTTTTATATTTTAGATCCAGAACGCACCTATTAACTTCATTTGTTGCCTGTCTTCTTTGTTCTATCTGTTCTTTCATTATTAAATTCAAAGTTTCTCTCGCCTATGGGTTCGATAGTAAATAGACGTATTCCAACTAGATGCAAAATCAACACATAATCTACCTGGTGAGGCCGATATTCATTCAATAAATACTTCATGTTTAAAATTATGTGTTTTATTTGCTCGATTTTGTCCGGAGCCTAAGGAAGGTTGTTGAAATCAATATGTTTGCCCGGTCAAACAGAAATAACTTAAAAATATATACTTGGTCGGGATCCTTGACTAGCATGTCGAGCAATTCGACAAAATTAAAAACTGCTGAATTATTCAGCTTTTTTAGAAAAAAAGAGCGATCTAATACGACATAATAGATTCATATTAGTATTTAAGTGCTAACTATGAGGAATGACTACGAATCATGATAAAAAGTAACCTATTTCCCCGGCTGGAAATAACTGTGGCACACTATTTTCTTCTAAAGTGGGGTTTCGATCGACGACCTGCGAGAGAATTAATGCGGACCTCGAAAATGAACTTTGTAAAAAAAAAAACTTCAATTAACGACAGGAAAAAGTACCGTCCAATTGGATTCCCCAAAGAGTGAATAGTTGCCTTCGGTTAAAGGCTTTGGAGGCTCGAGATCAAAGATGTTAAAATCAGTGGGTAAAGATACACCAGCGTGTATTACAGCATCGACACCTTGCTCGTTGACTTGTTTCAGCAACGCAAGGTTCTCGTCGGTGTATCTTTTGTATATTTGGGGTGGTGGTGGGTAAGATGAGCCAACGTTCTGTGCAGCCATCGCTAAGTAAGTGCTGTATAATTCGCGTACGTATTGTAAGTACAGTATATCCAGTAACACGGATTTAAATTCGAAGATCATACATGAATACCGATCGGCAAGCTGAACCCAAATTAGTTAAAAGACGATCGTCTTGCATTTACTCAGAAAGGCATCTACATTGTTTGATATAATAATTTTCCTGTTGCCGTTTTAGCACGTGACTGCAACACGACTAAAAAGTAAAAAAAAATTTTTTTTTTAATCAAATGAAGATGGACGTTTCAACTAATCTCGAAGCACAAAAATCTAAATAGTAAGTGATTCATTCATTTCCCGATGAATAAAAATTTTAATTAGTAAATTATGATTTTCGTATTAGCCCTTCGATAAATGTCGAAAAACCGATTCCTCTACAGTTCGATCTTGGGCTATTAGCTGGCTTCGATACAAATGCAATGGACGAAGGAAGTTTGAGGTAAGAATTCCGCGGTTGAATTCTTTTCCACGTTCTAAACGCAAAGTTATATTCGCATGCGCAAAATTTAATCTATAGAAACAATACGGACTCCTATCTAAAAGAATGTACAAGGGACAATACTCAACTTCTGATCAACCAAATATTTCAGCTGCCTATCGATTTCTCACAAAACATTGGTGTACTTGCAGAATTACCCGAGCCAACTACTGTTATTCCTAGGGAGAAACCCGTAAGATTGCGTACATACATTGTACGATCAACTTCACCCGCAGATTAACATATTTCCTGTATCTACAAATCAAAGGTACCAAAACCCAAACCTCTAACGAGATGGGAGAAATTCGCAAGATCTAAAGGGATCAAGCATCGCAGAAAGGACAAAATGATTTTCGATAAAGCTTCGGGCGAATGGGTTCCACGATGGGGATATAAGGGTGCAAATGATGACGGCGCAAACGATTGGCTGATACCTGTCCCGAATAATGCTGGTAGGTTCATTACCAACGATTCATAAATTTTATGCTTTAAATACAACTGACCGTTAATGTTTATTGACAGATCCATTTGAAGATCAATTCGCTAAACTACGCGAAGCGAAAAAAGAACGAATTTTAAAGAACGAAAAACGTCGTCGCAGAAATGCCGAGGAGGCCCAAGCAATGTTGCAACCACCAACCAATAACTCGGACACTCGAACGGCTCGTAAATTAGAATTGCAGCGACAGATCGCCACATCCAAAACTGCAACGGCCAGTTATGGGAGGTTTGATGAGCCGTTGGAGGGTGAACCAAAAATGAAGGGCGTGAAAGGAAAGGTAATATCCCATAACCATGGCTACTCAATTTCAGATCCAATAAGCAACTTTATATATCATTGTTCTTCTCTGATACACTTGATTTTAAGTTTGAACCGAATATTGGCGATGTAAAGAAGGAAAAAGAAACCAGCTTAAATATATTAAATAATATTGTTGGGAAAAAAGTTGAAGTCTTGAATGTGAGAAAGGTTAGTGTTTTTTTTTTTTTTTTTTTTTTACCATAATTTACGCTTACATGTTATTAACGCGTCTAATTTAATTTAATATCCCTTCTGCAATTACATCTTCAGGCCATTGCAAAACGTTGATAGATTTTCTTTTCGTCTTTTTTTTTTTTTTTTTTTTTTCATTTTTAAAAAAAATTTTTCCCCCGGATTTAAATCGTTAAAAATAAGGAGCGCGAAAAA